GAGTCACTCGACTGGGTGCGGCCGAAATTCGGCATGCTCATCCGCGGTAAGTCCTTGTTTCTGATCTCGTATATGGACTTCCTCCTGGCCTGAACCCCCCTCACCGCCGTTTTAATTTTCCTCCAGCCCAGGTGATTGAGTTCTGCAAGGTTGAGCACCACGCAAATCCCACTGACCGCAAACATGAAGACGAGGAACACGGTTTTCTCAGTGGGTCTCGAAACGTAGCATTCAACGTCTTTGATGCAAGGGTAGCGATCGCACTCGTACACGGCAGGAACGTTGAATCCGTACAAGAAATACTGCCCCACCAAGAAACCGATCTCCAGCGCGTTCCTGAAAACCACCTGAATGATGTAAAACCTTGAGATGCCCTCTTGTCTTCTCATTTTAGATTTGGTAGTTCTCCTGGCTGAACTGGGGATCTCTTTCACTTCCAAACAGTCAGGCTCAGATTCTTTGGTGGAGTTTTCTGTGTTCTGAAGTACTCCGTTCACGATGGTGTTTTTGATCTTTTTGCTGTCGTCTCGTTTCATTGAATCGGGATCTTTGTCAAGGGACAGGTAGACCATGGAGTATCTCCGCTCCTTCTGTTTGGCCGACTGATGCACCGAATATGTGATGAAGCACAGACTGGGTGTGCAAACCATGATGATCTGGAACACCCAGTATCTGATGTGAGATATAGGGAACGCTTTGTCATAGCAAGCTTGGTTACAGCCTGGCTGTAAAGTGTTACACACGAACATGGACTGCTCGTCGTCGTACACGGTCTCTCCTACTATTGCAACGATTAGAATCCGGAAGATCACCACCACTGTCAGTAGGATCCTAAACATAAGGACACAAATATTTTAGTTCATAGTGTATCTGCTACGGTATTCTCAAGCAGTTAAGTCAAAACAAACAAAGGAATATAAAACACATAAAAATTGCAATAAATAACTAAATAAATAAATAGATTAATTTAAAAAATAAATACAAATAAAAAATGGGCATTTGTGGTTGCTAGAAATTCTAGAAAACTCTAGAAACTGTAAAAATACATTGACAACACTTAATTTTAAGGGTGCAAATTCTGCACCACTATAAATAAATAAATACATATATATATCATGTTAAAACAAGAAAAGAAGTATAAGAAAATGAAATTAAAATTCTGCTGTGATTTTTAGAAATTCACTGTAAAAACCATAACCATATATTAACTGATTTAATTTTAATATTCCAATATGAACAGTATTCCAGATAGGACTGATACTATCTACTGATACTGTTATCTGACAATATTAATATCCCAATAACTACAACGTACTAAGCTCTGCTCTGCATATACTTATACATATTGTTAAACACAAGACCACATGATGAATACAGTTTCATCAAATGTGAAAAAAATAGCAAGTGCATCCACAGTACATAAATGCGCTCAGCATACAGTACAGTGTTGTTCATTTAGATACATCACACAAAACAATATTAAGGTAGCAACAGACATGGCGCTGGATTAATGTTATATACATTAACTAAATAACATAAAATGCACTATGAATGTACATGACTGATTAGGAAAAAAAAGAAAAAGAAACAGCAGTATTTTATTGAAATGTGATGTGCCACGCGTGGATTTATACATTTGAACGCCTTTGTACGGATTTCCACCGTAAATTATAAAGTGACTTTTCATTTATGTACTGCGACTGTACATTTACTGTACATTTATTGTTGTGCCAAATATTCTACCGTTATTTTTAAGGTAATTTACTTTCAAAAACGCCACTTTTTAGTTTTTACAGTAAAATTGCACGCAATGTCTGTTAAATCTAACCTTTATTGTATATGATATGATTATTTACAGCTAACAGGTTTGAACTGTATGGTTTTCTATTCTCTAGAGTATAGACTGTGCAGATTGTCGAGGGGAGCTGTCCAGTGCTGAAACTCTCTCCATAGGCAAACGCACAAGCGCACAACATTTCTCTGAAAGCAAATCAGATCTGACATGAAACAGCAATATGTTTCCGATGGCACAGCAGCTTTGTTGGCTAAAATGTGCAGTAATAACTATAACAACAGCAACAGTAATCTTAATTCTTCCCGTCCTTTACAACGCGCACATTAAGCTCCAATAGCCAATCGCCCTCATTTAGAAGGGTCACTGCGTAATGACCTCAATATTTTTTTATTTTAATGTGCAAAGCAATCAATAAACATTTTCTACTTTTTTCCTCACCTCCCGATCATAGTAGAGTGCTGTTGGACAGCCGCCTCCAGGAGACGCTCGAGAATTGTCCATTCCCCCATGGCTGTTCATTCGGAGACGATATAACACAGTGGAGCGAGTGAAATCAAACGCGAGCTACTGTTCCGCTCCGAAGGCGAGTGTAGTATCAGGCGAGTGCATTGATTAGTCGCTGCTGTCCACCTTGTCTTCCACGCCTCGCTCGGGAGGGCGCACTCCTCTGAGGTCCTGATTAGTCTAAAGCCCTCCTATTTTCTGTCTCGCGAGCAGGACGATAGGTCGCTCTGAAGCCTGAACGGAGGGGAGTATAATGTTTGGCTCGTGCTAATCCCGCTTTAAGTAGACTGCCCCCCCTCCTCCCCTTGCGTCACGCGCAGACAGGTTGTTGGAGAGAAATCAGAACAGCAGGATGTCTCCGTTTCATTATTCTCCGAATATGCCAGAGATGCCCTGATTAATCCGTAATAAAAATCATTGGTGATAAACTCAATTCACTGGGAGACCTCCGGAGACCGGCGACACACTCACACACTCACTCACTAGCGTGACAGAATAGGAGATTAGAGTCTAGAGTTAGTGTTTGTCGAATAAACAGGGCGCGGATCATGGGGGGTAGGCTAATTAAGGCTTGAACACCGGCAAAGAAAGCCAAAAGGTCCAACGTTTTACTAATTTAGCCAGAGCGCGCTTTTTCAACTGCCGCCAAAACGCTGGCGAACAGAAGTAGAGTTTGTTGAATGAACCAGGTCACCATAGTATGGAGGCCGAAACCTGCAAAAACAATAAATAAATAAATACACTGGCCATTTCTTTGGATCTTTTGTAAAGTCACAGATACTGTACGGACAATACAGCTCAGTTTTTTAATGTATCTTGCTCTGTTAAACGGAAAAAGTGACTTTACGTAGGCCATACTGGATTAACACCATGCATTTCCTGTTAGCGGGAAAGCCGGGCCCCCAGCTATGAGACCAAGTCCATGGTTGACACCCTCTCATTAGCATGTTGTGCAGAGGAGAAAATAAATGTGGAACTACATTCAGAAATAAATGAGTGATCAAAGGAAAATAGTTAGGATGAGTTTAGCATTTCGTTAAACATTTTCCATTTGTTCACCAATTTATTTGATGTATTTGCCTACTTTAATCACGTTTAATTATTTCTATATGTATTTAAACAAGAATTTGTGTATTTATACAGACATTTATTTATTTATTTGCATATTTATTTATTTATTTGTGTATTTATTGTTTTTGCAGGTTTCGTCCTCCATACCATAGCAACAATATTACGCACGCCGCTTTACGTGGCGAATTCAGTGTTGTCGGTTTGGGGATTTTGTCTCCAAATTAGCCGCTTGCTGCTACTTGTATTCATTTAAGGTTTTATTGAAGTAATGACTTTTAAGTCATGTTTAATTAATGTTTTGTGACAAGGAGCTATTATGGCAATATATTTTTCGATAAGATAAGGATACAAGATACAAGGTATGGGACACGTTTGCAACGTTTTCTCTGTTTTTAATAAATACTGTTATGGATACCTACTGTTACCGATTGTTCAGCTGACGCAAAAAACAAACAAACAAACCAAAAAAAAAAAAAAAACTCAGAAAACAAAACCCCAATAAAACTTTTTGAAAACC